CCATAACAACTGTAAGTGACAGTGATATTGATTCACCTAGTAATGGTGATTCACCTAGTAATGGTGATTCACCTGAGGGGCAGTAATCTGCCCTCTGCCTCGGAACCAGCCTCCATCCCCGTATGCCGACCCATCTCTTCTACTACCGTGAGTGTTCCTTAAAAATTTTCGTTTTTTAACCTATTCTTTATTTTTCCTATGTTAACCTTTATCTTTCCTAACCTAACCTCTTCTATATTACTTGTTTTTCATGCCACCATAAAGTTAAGATAGAATTTTTACTACAACATAGTTATTTGTCGTCAAAAAGTGGAGTTTGGGGGTCAGGCTGGGTTCTATTGGAATTAATCCCATATGTTCTGTTATTCACTTAACGCGGTTTTCACTTAACGCGGGACCCTCTGGGTTCAATTGACCGCGTTAAGTGGGGTACAACTGTACCTATCACAATAAAAGTGGCTGACTGACCATTCACTATATAAGCGGTTAAATTTACATAAGAAAAGGTAACTAAAATAGCCATTACCATGATCCCCAATAATAAAATACCTGTAAAGGCAATATACCGACTAATTGGTTATGTAATGACAATTTGAAACAAGATGAAGTAGTGTGAAACTATGAGCCAGCTCTAAATTCCTTGTTTCAAACGTTTTTCACTTACAGTATTGGTTGTTGCTTATTACAGTGATAAGCACATAACATCACTCCTCTTTGAATATATCCAACCCACCTCATCTCAGTGTGGCCGACACTTGCATTAAACACAAGCGGCTGCAGGGGTGTGATAAATAGATCCAAAGATTGACAAAAGTGTGTGTACTCCAAGTGGAATGCACAATCCCCAGTCCTATTTGTCACACCCCTGCAGCTGTGTGTGTTTAATGTGTGTGCCCTCCACACCAAGATGAAGTGGGGTAGATGGATTCCTTGTGAAGCATTAGTACCACTAGTGGCCTGCTCACCTTTACACCTCTGTGTTAAGTCAGGGGGTACGGGTATGCACCTCACTTGGGGTATATCACTAACCCAGGGTACATGCACATTGTCGATCTTTGGATCTATTTGTAACATCCCCGCAGCCGCATGTGTCGGATGGGTTCCTTGTGAAACACCAACACCACTTGAAACTCACAAGTCAACAAATGTTCATACACACAAATGGTAGCTAACTCCTGTGGCAGACCAATGCATCATCTACAGGTATTTTCTCCCTTTGAGTGAAAAATTCATAGAAATACGACTCTTAAGCAGTCATTAGGTTTGGGGGATGGTTTATGATAATGTAAACAAACCATTGGACAATGAAGGTCATAACAAGGAACAGTCCAACGACCCAAATTACTAAAAAGCTGATAGTGATAGAAATGATAAATAAATAAATAAATAAATAAATAAATAAATAAATATATATATATATATATATATATATATATATATATATATATATATATATATATATATATATATATATATATATATATATATATATATATATATATATATATATATATATATATATATATATATATATATATATATATATATTGTTGAGTTGATTTAGAATATAGTTATCGTCTACCCAGATCCCAACAGGTAACAACATAAAAAAAAAACAAAGACAATCGGACTATAAAAGGGTAGACAAAGGATGCGAGTTTTCGTTGTATATAATAGAGTACCATAAATCCCTTAACAAAATATTCAGCTTATAAATTACCCTTAACCAAACTTAACCTAAACATTAACAGTATATACATATTAATAAACATAAAACAATCTCGAAGCAAGTGGACGTGGGGAAATTAATACAAGATACTAGTACTTAAGTGAGGAGCTGAGATGGCTGACGAGTAAGGCTGAGTATTGTAGAAGACGGTAGGTAGTCACTGCACGTAGGTTTAGAGGATAGATGATCCTGTGGTCACTTCCCAGAGCCAAGTGCTCTCTCCTCGAATTGGAGCTGACAAAGAAGACTGAGGAGGTGACGCAACAACCAGGATAGGGAGAAGGGAAACCTCGGAGTGGTAACTAAGACGAGTCATACTCGTGTCTCGTCCCTAGATGGCGTTGCTCGTGGTGCTGGGTAGGTAGATCAGGACAATAGATGGCGTGGTTCGTAGTGCGGGGTGGAGGGGTTCGTAACACAATATATATATATATATATATATATACAGTTGTACCCCGCTTTACGCAGTCAATTGAACCCACAGGGTACCGCGTTAAGTGAAAACCGAAAACCGCGTTAAGTGAACAACAGAACATATGGGATTAATTCCAATAGAGACTGGCCCGACCCCCAAACTCTACTTTTTCCGACAATACCTATGTTCTAGCAAAAATAACATCTTAATTTTATGATGGTACATGCACACAATTAATACTTAAGAGAAATAGAGATATACAGTCGCCAAGTTAATGTCCATTCAAATAATGGACTCAACTCCCTCCCCCTCTTCTCACACTACACTGCTGGCTCTTCCCTCTCTGAGAAATTTTTGGGGGAAAACCACTAGATTTTAATAAATAATACCTCAAACTAAAGTTAGGATAATAAAATTGACATTGCTGGATTCCTTGTAAGACCAGGAATATTTTGAATATAAATGTCATATATTTTGCACAAAAGATAACATATTTACTCAGAGTAAACATTATATCTAAAATTTGTATGTCTAATGGAAAATCTATGATGTTTAAATTCAAAATGATCATCATATTGTAAGAATTCCAGCAATGTAAATAATATTCTGGCCGGGTAATTTGTATGAATGTTATGAGCTAAAAAAAAAAAAATTATTATACTTCACCGCGTATATAAGTAGATGAACCGCGTTAAGTGAAAATTCGGTTCTGGCGAGGCACCGCGTATATGAGAAATCGCGTTAAGTGAAACCGCGTAAAGCAGGGTAATACTGTGTGTGTATGTGTGTATGTATGTATGTGTATGTATATATACTGTATATATGCAAGTAAATCACTGTAGGTGCGCGTGATCTAGGTATATGCTGATAACCACAAGGAAAGAAGAAAACACGAAGTTCCCAAGCGCTTTCGTGTAATTCACATCTTCAGGGATGAGTACAGACTCACCCCTGAAGATGTGAATCATATATATATATATATATATATATATATATATATATATATATATATATATATATATATATATATATATATATATATATATATATATATATATATATTTATATATATATTATATATATATATATATATATATATATATATATATATATATATATATATATATATATATATATATATATATATATACACACACACATTCTGTGGTCCGGAACGATTTTAGTTTGTCCAATAGGTAGATAGGCAGCTTTTTTTTTACTTATCTGAATTATTATTATTATTACAGGAGTATTAAATTTTTGCCCCTCAGGCCCCAATGTGGGTCAGTGACCTATGCCCGGGTGGGCTAATCCCCTTAAAAAAAAACAACAAAGCCGCGGGAAATTAAGGTTTGTTTACATCCGGCAGTTCGGCTGCTCTCTCTCTCTGCTTGTCTATACAGAGTACAACATTTAACCCTTCAATATATATGAGCAGTAAATAAGTGTTGCTTTCATATTCTTATGTAGAGTAATGACGATATGTTTTCACATGTGCGCACTTACATAAGCGCAGTCTCACTTTTTTTTACCATTAATGGTTAGCTACTTATATTGTTCCATTTATTAACACTAAATAACATTACAGGTACTTCAAACAACCATATTATTTTTTTTGCATTAATTTTACTACAGCTAAAATCAGGGTCTTATTTTCTTCAGTTTTATATGTAGAACCAATCAGTCACTGGTTTTGTAGGCTTTAACATAAACAATGCCAGCAGCCGTCTCGTCTCCTCTAATATTCCACGTATTATTAATAAATTGTATTGTTAATTTTGCACACACAAACATTAATTCAATGAAAACAAATTCAGAAACATTAATTAAAATATATATGAACAGTAAATAAGTGTTGCTTTCATATTCTTATGTAAAGTAATGACGATAAGTTTTCACGTGCGCGCTTGCACACTTACATACGCGATCTCTCTTTTTTCTTGACCATTATCGTTAGCTAATTCTATTGTTCCATTTATTAACATTAAATAACAATAATTAAAACAATCATATTAATTTTACTACAGCTACAGCCAAGGTCTTATTTTCTTCAGTTTTTTATGTAGAACCAGTCAGTCACTGGTTTTGTAATCAACGAAAACAATGCTGTGTCATTTCCTCGTGTGTTTTAATATTCCACGTATTATTAATGAATTGTATTGCTCATTTTGCACACAAACATTAATTCAATAAAAAAGACATTCAGTAATAAACAATAATGAATCTTTTGTACATAAGAGAAATGACGCTGTTTACACGATTATGCACGTCGTCGGGCCGTTCAAACCTGTCGAAATTCAAGTTTCGGCCGTCAAAATTTTTTTTTTTTGTGTTCCAATAAAATACGTTAAGAATTAAAAACTCGCGAAATTTGAGAAGCTACTATACAACATTTAACCCTTCAATATGTCTTCAAAGAGACCATGATGCAGAGAAAGTGGTGCTAGTGCTTCCAAGCATAAGCACAAGTCACTATCTATCCAGGAAAAGGGTGAATTTCCATGGTCCGGCACCGGTCAGGTCCCGAGGTTGCCGGACTAGAGAGGTACAACCTGTGTATGTATGTATGTATGTATGTATGTATGTATGTATGTATATATATATATATATATATATATATATATATATATATATATATATATATATATATATATATATATATATATATATATATATATATATATATATGGATAGGCTAGAGGTGTTTACCATTTGACAATCTTCATTATTAAAGAGAAGTCTTCAAAACCTCTATGAAAATTATCACAAGACCCTGCAAATTAATATTTACATGAGCATTAAACATTTCTAATAATATGATCATGCACTGTGGTCATGGTAACAAGTAACACTTACGATGCCATTGTTGTGTGTTAAGTGATGCTCAGTTGATACAAAAGTTGAAGTTCTAACGATGGGTTTACCTCTCTCTTGTAACTACAGGTAGATGCTGAGCTGCCAAAACCATGCAGTGAAGTAAGTTATAACCTGCCAATTACAAGGGTTTATTAATATAATTTTACCTTCATCTGAAATTGCACTGGATCGATCAGATTGGTTCAAACACAGTAGTATACATTAATAACAAGTGTTGTCTGTAAACATAGCACATCTGCAATGCATTGGTTTCAGCAAGAACTTTTTTTAAGATAACCAGGTGTTATTAACTGATCATTATCATGAAATCTGACTACAACATAGGACATTACTGTAGAACCAAAATTGGACTCGAGACTCATCATGACCTATATATACTGTACCTATAAATTTATCAAAATGATCTAGTTTCATGAAAAGTACTCTAGTAGGTATCATTATATGATCATGTCCATAATGTGTGGTAACTAGCACGTTGGGCATTTATGTACAGCATAGCATAAAGAGTAAGTCACAGTGAACCTCTTTACCCACGGAGGTGACTAGGTATCATTAAGTGGTCATTCACGTTATGCCTTGGAAATCCAACAAAGCTGACTTTTTTCTTTTTAAGAGGTGACTTCATATCATTAATTGACCTTGCTTACAAAGTCTGGTGTTTGTAGCATGTGACCATACTTCCAATGATGCAGATTACTGTCTCCGGAGACAGGAGCATAGTGCACTGCATTTTTCTTTAGTAGGGAATAGTGAACTGTATTATTTTTCAGAGGAATGACTACCGGTATACAGTACTACTTCAATAGCATGTGGTGACCAAAATTTTCTTAAAAAGGACTGAACCTGGAAATCCCATGTTGATTATATATATATATATATATATATATATATATATATATATATATATATATATATATATATATATATATATATATATATATATATATATATATATATATATATATATATATATATATATATATATATATATATATATATATATATATATATATATATATATATATATATATATATATATATATATATATATATATGTTCCACAATGAAACCTGGATAAGAAAAATCTTGATAAAATCACAGGGAAAAGGGAAACAATGGAGCACCTTAGCTTTCGTTTTTATCAAGACATCTTCAGAGGCAACTGAATTACATGGACAGAGAGAGGCTTAAGTACACAGGGTGACCTTACTAAACATGAGGTCAGGTCATAACCATGACATCCACTAATCAGCACACCACCACACACGCAAAGGAGCTTAAGAGAAAGGGCGACATGACTAGTCAAATTAAGCCAGGTCAAAAATATGGGACCCACTAATCATCTATCCTACAGTTAACTCCAATGCTTTAAAAGCATTTTTAACCTTGGGCCACTGACAAATAAATTTGTATAACATATCAGTTTTGTACTGACCATCACTAAGGTTTATAGAATTCAACTCCCTAATCAAACTAGCTTCAACCAGAAGTCTTTCTGTGACACATGATGATTTGTACACTTCTAAGCTGTTTTCCCAATCCATGGCATGATTACTGTTCCTACCGTGAACAAACAGTGCACTGCTTTCGGATGCTGTTCTGATATTGTACTTGTACTGTTTAATTCAGAGTTGCAATGCTTTCCCAGTCTGTCCTACATAATTTTCATTACAGTAGCTACATGGAATGCAGTAAACACTTCCATTTACATTCAAGGTTGGGCTATTCTTGATTAATATATTGGTAATAGTAGAGTCATACTTAAAAACAACATTAATATTTAATAATTTAAGGGACTGATTTAACGGGAGAAATTCATTGCGATAAGGCAGTCAATATATTCTTAAATGTAGGAATTTGCCGCCTGGTTTGAGTAGAAGAAAAGGATTTTTTTTAGCCCTTTTAAAACAATGATCAACGAGCAATGAAGGGTACCCAAGTTTTTGTGCAATGGACTGAATGTGTTTCAGTTCTTCATCAATAAATTCAGCGTCACAAATACACAAACATCTCAAAAACATTGCAGAAAAAACTGACATTTTGGTAGATTCCAGGTGACTTGATTAAAAATGTATGAAACTGTCTACCTGTGTAGGCTTTCTGTACACCTTAAATTTATAGCTATGACCATTTCAAATGATAAGCATATCAAGGAATGGAAGGGATCCATTTATTTACAGGTATTTCAATTTTGAATGTAATACTAGGGACAAGATCATTAAGCTTGTCTAAGCCTCTCTCTGTCCATGTAATTCAGTTACCTCTGAAGATGTAGTGAATAAAGACGAAAGCTAGGGTGCTCCATTGTTTCCCTTTTCCCTGTGTGATTCACCTTTTCACAAAGGCCCAAGAACTTCCGTTCGTTGTCAACATAGATATCAAGGTCATTTTCACACTTGACCTCTATTACTGTTGGTACGACTTAGGGCCAAATGCAAAAACTGTTGTCATGCACACGGTGCTGTGGTATCCCGACGATCGTAATACAATGAAAGACAAGTTTAGTGATAATTCAAGAATGGCCATGGTGGTTCCTGACCATCGTTTGTTGTTACTACGCCATCATGGTGTAGTCAGGTGTACCAACTGGCGGAAAACTTGGAGGTTGGTATGCTGGCACCCTCAAAACGTTGTCAATGGCACGAAACGTTGGCTATTGCTACACGATTTACGAGCATGAATAACTTGAATCCCAAGCTAAGGTTCATCTCATTTTCCTATTTTCTTGGATTATAAGTCAATTCTGGGTGTGAAATACGATCAATTACAGTGAATATTGGTAAATAAAGCCTGTAACAACCATACGAACGTAGGAATAGAGTGTATTATCTGCTCTTTTCTTCTGTCCTGATTAAATCTAACAATAAAGTATAAGGTTTGTCACGAACTTGGGGTTGGGTGAGTGTAACGAAAAAGAGATTAGATCAAATAAGAAAAGCAACAGAATCTGATGATACTCTGCAATTATTAAAATCAGTGATTTTGGATGGATGGCCAGAAGATGTAAATAAAATTAATTGTGCTCTAAAACCATATAGTTCTTGTAAGAAGAATTTTCTGTTCAAGATGGTTTAATTTTTAAAGGTGATAAAGTAATTATACCATTAAGTTTAAGAGCAGAGATGACAATAGCCGTGCAGTCATCACACATAGGTATTGAAGGGCCAGGCATGAATGCAATTTGAAACAGTTTATTGCAACACGTGAGATGTGTAAAACATATCTAACTGCACAACAGAAAGAATCTCTAATGTCTCATGAATTAGCTGATAGGCCATGGCAGAAAGTAGGTGTAGACTTAATGACACTAAAATATCTAGATTACTTAGTAATCTGGGAAACAGATTATCGAGAAAACACAAAAGCAGCTACTATTATAAGAAAATTAAAAGCTCATTTTGCTAAATATGGTCTCCCATCTTCTCTTAAGTGAGGAATTCTATGATTTTGCCATAAAATATGACTTTGAACACAGAACTAGCAGGGTATTATTGTATTTCTGCACCCAACATTCCTAACCCTAATCTATTATCATATTCGAATAAGACGTCTAATTATAAGATAATTTTCTTCTATTACATTACCTCGCAAATGTGTAATAACGGTGATAGCGTATCCAAAATTTTCTCCCGCCATTATCGCCTACCTCACCTCCCACATTGCGTGTCTCCTTCATATATCATCACGTGCATGCGTTCCCGTACACGTTACGCGGCCAATCAAAAGGTTTTTGGGGGCAACCAATTAAAATTTGTGGTTTAATTCGCAGTATTTTTGGCCCAATCAAATTCGATTTTTATTTTGGGTCTCATATTTCGAAATTCACATTCATTTCCGACCATGGAAGTCTGTGATGGGTGTCACTTAAATTATATGGAGCTCATTGCGAGTTTTGGGGAAAAATAAATACGAAGAAACTATAGCATTTTTCGATCTCATGGTGTTCTCCCGACCTCATTAAAGTGTCCCAAGTGCAAGAACGAACATAAATATCGTCAAGACCAACATATGTGATATTGTGGTAACTCCCAACGGCGAACAAGGACCAGGCCAATAAGGTAAGAAATAAGTGATTCCATCATATGGTGAGAGTCAGTTAGGTTAGGTCAGGTTTATGTTTTTTCTAGCGTTTGTTTATGTATTTTGTATTCGCTTAGCCATTATTTTTTTTCCGGAAAAAGCCCCACAAAAAAAAATCAACAAAACAACCCGGCCAATTTCTGAGGGTAATAAAGGTCATAACCGATCAAAACACACATAAATACACTACAAACATATATTTTTTTACTTTCTAACAAAGTTGGGTGCACTTATACAAATTTACCCACCTAAATACAAAAATATATATATATATATTCTCATAACAAAAAGGAGCCACAGCCTTTAAATTAATTCTTACCATGATTTGAATATATCATCCTGCGAAAATGTGTTTAGCCAACTGAAAATCCATCAATAATCTTGTATCGTTTTGTCCACACGTCCAACAGACGCAAACAAGTTTGGTTGTGTACGGAACCAGGTTAACAGATTTAATTTTCACAAACAGGATTTCCTAATAATGGCAACTTTATTTACTTTTCACCAACAGGACTTCCCGATAAAAGAGAACAGAATGCGTTGTTTGTTTTCGTTCATTTTTTATCATTGTAGTAATGAATTACAAATGAGGCGAAAACTTTTTATCGTAATTTTAACTATTCTTTAAATAGTTTTTCTCTATTAACGATCATAAATCATGAAGGATGAGGGAAATTGTGGGGTAAACCACGGTGAAAAACTGTTATGATGTCTCTACGTGCTTTGTACACAAAGAAATGGTAACTTGCATCTAACAGGATTCCCGTTGACGGAAACTTTAATTAACTTCTCACTATACGATTTCCCTATAAAATGAATCATAGCTCTTCTCACTAGCAGAACTCCCCCCGTTAATGGCATCCTGAACTTGTCACTAACAAGACTTCCCGTTAATAGTAACTTAACTTACTTCTCACCAAGGTCAATATATCCCGATAATTGCAATTTAACTTACATCTCATTTTCCCTGGCAATGTCGGCAGAAGCCTCCGGGAGTACAGAACCGAGACACACTAGCACTTCACTACTACTTCCTGAACTGAACAATGATGGCTACGCGGTCGGCCCGGCCCCGACTCTCGGTCTCACCCGTCGCGGCAGAGCAGCCACTCACCCAAACATGGACACTGTCAAATAGCGCACCAATCAGAGCACCGGGAAAAATGATGCAACCAATGAGAACAGACTTATTACGTCGGTGAGTGTGAGGAGGACGACGTCAGGTACACACAATAGACAGTGGAATGATACGTGTACTGGACACAGGACGCTTGTTTGTATTGAACGTCCACGTATACGTTGACTTACACGAGTGATGTATAAGAGGGGTGGGGAATTATTTTAATACTAGTCATCATTTAAACCATCTGTAAGTAATACGAACTAACAGAAAACTAGTTAAAACAAAGAAATGGGCAGATGAAAAAACTTTGTAAACCATTTAATTTAAACCATTGGTTTAAATCGGCCAACCCTGATACGTATACAGTATTGTAAAGTAGCGCACCTGGGTAAGTAGATTTGACAAGAAACATTTGTCTGCTCTCTCCGTGATTAATATTTGTTAAAAAATAAGTCTCATAAAAATATAGTACAATATATGAACAAGCGGAACTCTCGGCCGTAGTATGTACTGAATGTGTTAAACTTTCAGATAGATTCAGTCTCACCTGAACACTTACTAGATTTAAGTTTTCGTCCGTTTAAATTCTCCAATTGGTGATGTAACGGCACAGCTGCACGGGTACTTTATACAGACTTATAACACAAACATTGAGGTCAGATTTATATCCTATAACTACAATGAGATTCTACAGCAACGACTGTGTACTGTTGTTATCCAGATTTATATGAAATAACTGAAAGAAGCTTTTGAGAATCTACGACTTGATTGCAAGCATTTCCCAGTCAGCTCCTGAAGGACGCCACTTCCTCATTTTAACCAGTCATAATTTCTTGGTCGTCGCGTCGAGCCTAGCCTAGCTTGTGATTGGTGTGCCAGAGGTGTGCTGCTGAAAGTTGGTGAGGTTCAGAAACGTGGTGCAACATACATCCCCTGATATTTATGGGTGAATATAGAGAGTGCATGTCATAAATGACAGCCACCCTTAGCCCGAAATAACGGAAAATAAGAAGAAATTTGTATGCACAAGGAGAACCGGAAAGCACTTACTGTATGTATAATGATTCTTAAAAAAATCTCAGGGAGCACACACGCAAGAATGCGTTGGTAATTAGAACTGGTGGTAATTCAGCCACAGATACAGAAAAGGGGAATAATGTTGGTGTGAGAGACGTGGTATTCATAGTGTTACTGCTTAGCTTCGCCCCTGATCAGCTCACTATGTTATGTTAACCACAAAGAAATTACCTATTAGTGCATGACAATGATTAAAATGCTGAAAAATAATTCCAAAGCATTAAAGAAACAGGATATAACTGATGAGCAAAGATGACATGGTTAGTTTTATGGTATTATGTTCTCATCATTCCTCCACTTCTTTCTTTCACATTTCCTTCACTTCGATCTCTTTCTCTCACTAGTGACTAACCCTGTCTGTCATCACCTCCACCTTTCACTATCCTCCCTTTCTGACCGTCATTATCCCCTGTAATCTTTCTGTCGCTCTTTCACCCCCCACTCCCTTTGTCCTTACCCCACTTATCAACCACTCCCTTACTATCTCCCCCTACCCTTTTCTCTTTGTCCTCACTCTCAATCATTCACCACTCACACTAACCCCCTCTTCTCTGTCTCCTTTATCACGTCATCACGTATTAGCTTACTTGCCGTTCAGAAGGTTGTTCTGTACTCTGACCTATATAAACTGCTAATGAATATGATGTATTTCTTTGTGTACGAACCTCTGTCTTGCATGGCAGTGAACAGTGACATCACCCACATGAATCTGACCTATATATACTGTTAATGAATATGATATATTTCTTTGTGTATGAACCTGTCCTGCGTGGCAGTGAGAAGTGATACCACCCTCAGTGTCAAGACCTGACTGCATTACTCAAAATAGGCAAACTGTACTCCAAGCTTTTTCAATAAATTTGTTCAACTAAACTGTCCAGTGTTAGTACAGGAGGACGACGCCTGTGATGTTTGGAGGGGTCACCCTGGTGGATAACAACACTCTGCCTACGTGTGTCCAGGACAAGGTGGACTTGAACCCATGACAAGGTTGTGAGATACAGGTATACGCGCATTACTACCCCCATTAACACCTTACTCCATTTATCTCTCACTACCCCCATTTCTATCTCTTATTATATTTCAACCTTTATAAGCTGACAATCAACCCAAGAGAGGGAGAGAGACCTACAGTAACTGGTCTCAGCCACTGTTACGTGCCTCTGCCTCAAGGTCACATGCCCAAAGCACCACCAATCAGAAGTAAGTGGTTGGGAAGGAATACCAATAGGAATCCAACTTGTCATCACGAAGCTAGTTCCCAAGAGGCACCAAACGAGTCCCCCCCCCCCCCATTGCATCAGAACATCAAATAGGTAGTAGGCAGCTACCCACTATTATAATTTTCATAGATCTTCCTTTTTCACACCTCAGTGACCCTGAGTTTTTACTGTTCCTTAATCAGTATCAATGTTCCCACAATGATGATGCTAGTGTCATTCCCTTAGATGTGCTAGATCTTATGTGTTATATACCCCATTTACCCATGGTGTCGACACAATACTCCCTCATATCGATCCTGATGCCTTTCTACAAAACTCACTGGGTTACACCAACCCCAACTGTAACTATTACTTTCCTGACTCTCCCGAGTTTAGTTCGAGTCTTCTACTACCTCATTCCTTCTCCTTGATTAGCCATAACATCAGCAGTATTCCCCTTCATCTAGATACCTTTTTAGATCAGTGTTTATCTTCAATTGCCCACAAATTTGATATACTTGGGTTCTGTGAGACCAAACTCACTAACGATATTGATCATTTGTATATCATTCCGAATTATAATAGACACTGCGTCAACACGTCACGACACAGTGGTGGTGTCGCCCTATATGTTGATATCAAGTATAACACTTCTGTAAGAGATGATTAAAAGGTTCAGGAGGAGTACATGGAGAGTGTTTTCATTGAATTACGTAACGACACACGAAATATCCTAGTAGGAGTAATCTACATTAGACCCCTCACTAATGTAAGGAATTTTCTTGATAAATTTTCGGAGCTTATCATTATCATAAGTTCAGAGGGGAAACGTGGCTACATTACAGGAGATTTCAACCTTGATCTATTAAAATCAGCAACCAACACCTCAGTATTAGACCTTCTTGCTACCTGTCATTCTAAACCCTTCTTCAACACTATAACCAAACCCACTAGAGTAACTGCCACCTCTGCCACTGTGATAGATCATATCTGGACTAACAACACTCCTAACAATCTTGCAAGTGGAATCATTTATAACAATATCTCAGATCACTTCCCAGTTTTTGCCATGTATAAAACAGCCACAAGCAGGGCCGGATTCAGGAGTGGGCAAAGTGGGCAGCTGCCCAGGGGCCTCCACAATCTGGGGGCCTCCACATATAACAATATTTTATTCATTTGGATTATTTTTATTTTCAATCTTTAAAATTCATGTTTATCTATTCCATCACGTAAAACTATGTTCAGCAAGAAGCGTGACAGAAATTGGCTAGCTACTTGGACAGAACCATTATTTGAGTAGAGGTTTATCTGATAAATAATGCAAAGAATCATCTCTCTGTAATAACTAATAATATATTCTTTTCTGTGAAGTCTCTTGAAATTTTTTGACATGTGCGGTAGTAGCTATATCAGGGCTGGTCGACTTGAAACCACATGAATGACTCCAGTCATGTCTCACTTTTGTGTGTGTGTGTGTTGGGAATTTGTACACTATCAATAAATATACAGTAAATTAAAATTTTCTCATTGTTCTAATTTCCTCAATATAACTGCATATGGCTTCAAAATTCTCCAAAGAAGTGTTAAAATTTCAAAAATTTCCCGGGGGGCTTACAGCGCCCCCCGGAACTCCCAGATGTTTAGACTCGCTTCACTCGCCACACCACCCTCTTGGGTAGTTATAATGAGGGGGGCCTCCACAAAGAGGCTGCCCATGGGCCTCCACAGGTCTAAATCCGGCACTGGCCACAAGACCCGAAAGGTTTAGTAGAATCTCAATACAATACAGAGACTACTGCACCGACAACATGCTCCTTTTTTAAAACAACCTAATGAATGCTGACTGGGATCTTGTCTATGCCTCCGATAACCCGAACGTGAACAGCTGCAACTTCTCTTGCATCTTCAATGCTTGCTTTGATAATACTTTCCGCTCAAGACTGTCAGTGAAAACTGTATCCAATTCCAGACCCTATATCACAAGCGAAATTAAGATAATGCAAAAAGAAAAACACAAACCCCAAAGGAAATTTGCAAAAAGACCCATAACTTTCGGTGATGCTTACCGAAGTATCAGAAATAGAGTAACTCAAGCATTTAGAAATGCCTGACGTAGTAGCTATTATACAAATAAGCTCCAGTCAGAATCAGGCGACGGTAAGAAAACCTGGAATGTCATAAATTCTATTCAGAACAGGAACACTCAGCCTTCGGTCCCCCACTCAGCTTTTATGATAAATGATTCAGTTGTAACGGAACCCTCCCACATTGCCAACCACTTCTTAAATATTTTATTAATGTTGGCAAAAATCTTGCAGAGAGCATCCCTGATCACCATGAGGAATTTAGAACCTAACTGCAAAACAGAATGCAAAATGAGCTGTTCTTATCCACTGTCACAGCAGATGAATTGCTGGCCATCATAAAAATGTCCAAAGATGCAGCAGCAGGCAAAGACAATATACCAATGAGCATCATTAAGAAAGTGGCCCACTTATTACTACTTGTTCTCCTACACATTTGTAAATCCTCCTCGACTAGTGGTGTCTTTCCGGATAAACTGAAAATTTCTAAAGTTCACCCAGCATATACAAAATCTGGGGGCAAAGGTCTCTTCATGAATTACCGACCCATATCAGTTCCCCCAGCCTTGAGTAAGATACTGGAAAAGCTAGCATGCAGTAGACTAAATTCCTTCTGCAATGCCAATAACATCTTTACAGACTCCCAGTTTGGATTTAGAGCTAGAAGGTTGACTGAGGGTGCTCTGCTATCCTTTACTAATGACACAGTTCAGTTCACATTCAGTATATTCTTGGAACTCTCTAAAGCCTTCGATACTGTAGACCAGGGGTCACCAAACTACGGCCCGCGGGCCGGATCCCAAGCCCTTCCCCGGCTCGTGGTAGCTCCGCCTACGCTCTGACGTTGCCAGAGCTTTCGTTCTGGCTTGCAAGTATTGAACAGAATGATTATGCGGCCCGCGCTCGTCATTCTTTCAGTTATCCGGCCCACTGTGAAAAAAGTTTGGTGACCCCTGCTGTAGACCATACCATCCTCCTTTCAAAGCTTGAACGTTACGGCGTTAGGGGCCTAGACTACGCTCACTTCCTTTAAATCATCGCTTAAAAATATCTATTGTCTAAATATTTATATTTCTTGTAATACCTACTATATTTACAGTACCTGCTTTTATTGTACCAACAAAACCGTTTTATCGGAAATTATCATGTAAATAGATAAGAAATTACCATTGCAATAAACATATTTACCAACTAGACATAATCCTGACAGCTCTGTCCTCTTGTTCAACCTTAGTACTGTACAACCCATGTTGTACTGCTCCCCCATTATACTTATGTTTTTCACTTCCACAATAATTTATGTATATACTTATTATATAAATGACAAAAATAAACTAAACAAAAATAATAATAAATAAATAAAATAAATAAACATTGAAGTGATAACCGTGGTAACATTATTACATGTTCTTATTACCACCATGCTATTCCAGATGTTACTAAATATTACATAATACTTCCTTGAGATAAATGTATTGTATATATCAGGTGCTTAAAAGAGAACTCAGGTTCTCAATGGCTCAGCCATGTTAATATTGTTATAACTATCCACTCTGTATATGTTTTTTTCTGGCTAAATAAACTGTTTCAATTCAATTCAATTCAATCAAACAGGGAGGTACTACCGCCTGGGAAGATATTGGAAGCATAATGTGTTGTCTAATGGTAGACCCTGCTGCCATATGGCATAAAAAAAATGTGACCAAGTCCCAGGTTACTGATCTGACTTTCTGCCTCATTTACACACAATTGCAGGGTCTCAATTGTTTCTCTTACTTGGACAACACAACATATATAATGTTTATAATTTCTTACTCTTGATTTATTTTTTTTAAATTTTGTATTTATTTATGGTTATTATTTTGGTTATTTTTATTATTTTATTTGTATTAACTTGCTATTAATTTTATTAATTGTTGTAATAATAATGATAATAGATATTATTATTATTATTATTAATATAATTATTATTTATTATTATATTTTCTCCCCCCAGGCCCTGATGTGGGTCATTACCAGTGCCCGGGTGGGCTAATGCCCGTTAAACAAAATAAATAAAATAAAATAAAACATCTTAAATCATTGGTGTTTGAGATATGCCCCCCTCATTACCTAATTAACTCCAGCCTCCCTGGACCCCTTCATATTATGTCATTTGCGAGGGAAAAGTCATTGAAGAAAGTTGTCTTAGAATTGTCTTAACTATTGATTATAAAGATAAAATTCCGACCATCGGTTGGTGGCAACTTATACAATACCATACCTTTTATGCGCATTTTTTTTTACAAAGATATAGGTTTCATCGTTTAATATATCTTTTATACACTTTAATGGGAAGTGATTTCGGTTAATATTCGTTTTCAACCATTCCTTTTCTAGTGTTTCTGACTACCCTAAACGTGTTATTTTTAAATTACGAATCGATATTAAAGAGTAACGTTTCTTGTGCAAATGCTTAGTTTTTAATATATTTACCCTCAAACATATATCTACTTTCAGCTGCGCCTAGGTGATTTAGCAGTCAGCCAGAATAGGTTAGGTCAGGTATTGTTTACTTTGGTCCTGCTTAATGCCCATGCGGTCATGATTAGCGGCAATTCGGTCGGCAAAGGCAGGTTAGGTTATGTTAGTTTCTTTTGATAATTATGACAAATTGTTTTTCTGGTGTATTTTACTCAAGCGTGACCTTCATTTCTTGTGAAAATGGATGTTTTGGGTTTTTGTCGAATATCTAGAAAAAAATGGTTCATTGGTATTTACTTTCAGTCATCCAGGAATTTTAGGATTTTAACTGTTGGAATCAATAGTTTACACAATTCCAAAACACTTTTCTTCTATGACGTTTCCCTCGCAAATTACTTACTTGCCAGGGGATGGGGAATCAGTTAGGAGTTGTCATTCGCGAGGGAAACGTTGTAGAAGAAAAAGTGTCTTACAAAATTGTCTAAACTAAGTACTGATTCAAACAGCCAAATTCCTAAGATTCCCTGGATGACCGAAACTAAAACTTAAACGTAAAATCTTTTCCAAAATCAGTGTAAACTCACGAAAATTTTGAAAATTTCCAAGCACGACACGGACTGTGGACGGCCACGATGGTAAACAATGATTGAAAGTGAAACACCAAGCAGCAAGCACGAGAATTGAGGACGCAAATTATTATAATCATTATTACTTTTTGCATGTGACACAGATCAGATAAATCTAACGCTAAAAATATGCCATTATCTTATGATTAAGTTATATTGGTTGAGTTTGGTTAAGATGGAACGTAACTCTAGCTGATATAAATTACTTACGCCCGTAGCCTCTGTTCAAGTGAGACTGAAGTTCACTTTCGTTTTGGATATTGTACTTAAAATCCAATCATGGTAATCGACACATGAGCACATATAAATTATTTAGGTAAAAAATTACCCATGTTTCATAAAATGTTTTGACTGAAATGTCAATGCCAGACATTAACCACATCTTATTCTACTCTGTGGGTGACTAAACTATTAAGGATGAGGAAAATATTAAATGGAGGATCTTTCATTTTGATAGTTTTATTACCTTCAGCTTGATACATGGATGATGTTATATGAAAACGTATAAAAGGTAAATTTTCCTGGTTGTTTTGAAACGCTAGTGAGTTAAATAATTATGCATACTTCACAAAATATCCCCATTCAGTTCTGATATTAGGTCCTGTGTATCTTACTCTTTGTGTATTGGAAGATATTTACTTAGTTTATAATTTATTACGGTTGACTTGAATTAATTAAAGATATGTACACTTGCGAAAAATTGACATACAAATGCTTCCTTATCAAGCCAACACACCACACTTTCACCTTTATGATAACATTAAATAAAACTGGATATCGTAGTACTGTACAGTATACCGTATGTAACGATTCTATTTTGACAATACAGTTGTTAATGCAATAGTTTGTATATAATGAGATATTCCACGTACCCCAAAACATATTATGTTTAGGATGAGGAAAAAAATATTATATATATATATATATATATATATATATATATATATATATATATATATATATATATATATATATATATATATATATATATATATATATATATATTGTATTTTGAAAGTCTTTGACGATGGTAATAAAAAATCCTGAGTTGACAAAATTTGAAGGTTCAGCGTACAATTTACAGGACCTGACACACAGGATAACTTTTAGAGAAACTGCCGAGAAACCGTGATGCTTTAGAGTCTAAAAGAATAAAACTCCCCAAATTAACCCTAGAATACGTATTTACGTCTAGCCCATCCTATAACACTAGGATATGGGGCGTTTTAGAAGCTTACTCATAGAACCTTAGGAAATAGGGTGTTAAAATTTTAATTCCTACACATTCAAGAAGGAAGGTATATAAGCGTATATCATAAATTATATGTTAAAGGCACAATGGGTTTGGTTGCTGACACTGTGGTCATTACACAATACTAAGAATTCCCCAAAATGGTAAATTATATAAATTCCTTTTTTTTACAAGATTGCCACTGTCATTTTTCGGCGGTGTTCTACAAACATTCATCACCGTTCTCACTTATAATAATATAAAGTATAGAGGTAAATCACACGACAACATCACTTCTCCCATAGAAAACACAACACATGATCTTCCCTGACCAAATAAACGTAGAAAAATTAATATTTAGTTAATATTTTAATATTAAGACAGAGAATAATTTTGAAACATGGTCATGTTTTGGTTATTTATGTCATCTGTGCCATATTTTATTCGTATTTTTTTCATGTAATAACTCGTGTCACTGTCACTTACATAACGAACAGAACAGAACAATGAGTCATTCTTTGGTGTAAAACATCGTAAAAAACACTTATATCTCAGCATCATACAGAACTTTCTCCTTTCTTCAGTAGCGGAGTGCTGGGGGTGTCTTCCTCGTAACTCGCATGTCTGGAGAAGGTCACCCTCTTCCGCTCACAATCCAGGTACTCTGGAGGAGGAGGCGGAAAACTGCCCTCACCCTCAGAGCAGGGGAACTGGTGAGGGCTCAAAGTGGGGGTGTATGAGCACAAAGAAGCACTGTTGGGGTTAACGTTAGTCCTCCTAGGTAGAGTAGAGGATCTTGCTTGCTGGTGGAGGTAGGTGTAGTGATGGTGGTGGTGGTGGGGTCCGAGGCAGGAGGGATCAGGTAGGTCTCTCCCGCCCGGTTGGCCAGTCGTCAAGGGCGGCGCTGCCTGGGTCACTCCTAACATGCTGCTGTACTGGGAAGGACACGGCTGTATGGGAGGATGTGGGTTGATCTGTTCATCATAGTTCAGAAGTATTAACGTGTCTTTATATACATACAGACATGCTTTATATATTAACATAATACTAAGAACTAATGAATGCAATATAACAGAAATAAAATATTATAATAGGTGATTTTAATGTTTGTGAAATATTTAGGAAAACTATAAAATTTATCAAAGTAGAATAGTTTGTACATAATACAGTACTGTCAGCACACATTGTTGAAAATTGGATTTTTATCGCCCACGGTCGAGAGGAGACAACAATTGTTGTGTGTGTGTGTGTGTGTGTGTGTGTGTGTGTGTGTGTGTGTGTGAATTAAATCGTCCTCCATCTGGTAAAAATAGTGTTTGTGGATGAGTGGTGAGTGTGTATCAAGACTGGTTCCCGTCCAATATGTTTGCTGATCCACATCAGTTAAGGGGGCGAGGGGGACGTGTTACCTCCTGGCGGCTCTTATGAAATGTAAAACCTTACTGACCAACAACAAGCAAACAGCAGAAGGGAAGGTACTGACAATGTTAGGTAGGTGGGCAGGGACGGGGGCGTATTTGTAGCGATCAGAGGGCAGAAGGGTGGCAGCTGGCGGCACTTCATACCCCCTGTACGACGCCTCCTGTAGCGGGATCACGTCAGGGTCAGCGTCGCTCTCAGACTCCGCCTGCTGGAGACAAAAAAGTTAGTGTAAATGACACAAAAGTTATTCCCGGAACTCTATCTAAATTTCGTAAATGTACTTAATCTGCGGGTCTGGTTAAGTTAGCCTAAGTTATTGGTGAGGTAGGCTAGGTTAAGGATAAGTTAGCCCAAGTTAATAAGGTTAAGCTAAATTAGTTTAGATTCTGGCTCAGAGTCTAGAAACTGGTTAGTCAAAATCAAAATTTCCCTTATTTCACATATTTCGAACATGACTTTTAGATTAAGCTCTACCCACCCACTATTGATATTACTTATAACTGTCACATCTTCTAGAAATTAATTGCTTGGTTGTTGGTTCGTGAGTGGTCAGTTCCGCCGCCACATTGTCAAATTCACCACAGTGTTGTCTTTTCAAAATTTACCTGGTAATTACATAGTGATATCGGTCATAATTAACATGGTGGGTGTGGTAATACTACGTCTTATGAAGTCTCGCTAATGTGGCAGCACAACTTAGTAACCAGCTGCCAACCAACTTGTACAGCCGTGATAGTTGCGAAGGACGCCGAAAGTGAGTGAAGCTTACTTGATACCTAACCCAAAGACTAATTTTCGTTCCTGCTGATTCATAGTTTGTATCTTTCCCTGATATTGTGATCCTTGATATGCTTTTCTTATCTTCCTGTGTGTTGTTTGTTTCTCTTCCTCCCTCACACCTCCCCAGCCCCTCACTCACCTGCATGTCCCTCTCCAAACAGATAACATCGTGCTCTGGCGTCATCAACACTGGTGACTCGTGGCTACACTTCGGAGATTTACTCGCACCCCGGGAGTGATGGTGTTCGACAGTTTCTACCTCTGTCTGTTGTAAGGACTCGGACAAGGGATGTGCCCTCGGGGTCCTTCTTCTCCTACGGAAGGTTATAAACAGTAGCAGCAGAATTACTATGAGTACCAGGCCAGACCCTACACCCAGAACTCCCACGATGAAGGATGGGAGGACCAGGGCGTCGAAAGAGGAGACGTCGAAGTCGTTTGCAGTTCCTTCGTTGACGACGTTCGTTTGTCCACCATCTCGGACTTCGGCTTCCAGGGGGCCATCTGGAGTAGACCGACGAATAAATGGATAAGAAAACAAACATATGTGTAATTTAACTGTACATAGCTTTGTGCTTACTTAAACCGGGCCATTTCTTTGTGATGTCACGCACCACCAACACGAGGGGGACATAACTTCAAATTCGCCAAGTTCTCATGCAAAAAGAATATAAGGAAATACTTCTTCACACAAAGGTAGGTAAGCCTATGGAATGTTCTACCAACTCAAGCTGTGGAATAAAAAAAGTACTGGGCTTCAAAATAGTCCTTGACATAATTATCAAGAACAATGGATGGTTTCTACACAAGCCACTGGCCTCCTTCCCTCGGCATGGCCACCTCTAGTGGGTGACTTTTTTTTAATATTACCTACGCGGACCTTAAGCTAAAATACTGGTCCACCCACTGCTGGGATAAAACACCAGCATCTTTTTGGTGACCATTAGGTAAATAAGGTAAATATACTGTCATGGTCATAATGACATGGCCTAGTCTGTTGAAACCTAATAATTCATATTACGCTCCACGCCCACAAAACCTGTAAACCTTTTGAGTCTCCCAGTTGAAACATTTGTTGTCTAACTACTTCAGGAGATCTGAGTCCTCCGATTTTCTATATCGCATTACCGGAGAAACTCAGGTATTCCTAAATTCCGCATTTGAATTGGTAAGAGTGTAGTGGATTTCTCCCCTACAAACGCTGTTTGTCGCTGAGTAGCCGACCCCGCGAATTCCCCAGTGTATGCCTCGTGGTCTAGGTCAATCAGCGCCGCCTTACATGACGGAGGTCAACTACTAAGCCACGCCTACCTCCGCTATTTAAGACCTGACCTCGTGGTAACCGCTCTCTTTTCTACCTACACCAACCAGCAAGCAACACCTCCTCCTCCGCCGCTGCCTGGCGGCCCTCGCTCCCGTCGGCGAGCATGGCGACCCACAAGCTGTCCTCCTCTGAGCATCCTCACCAACCAGCTCTCTCTACATCACGCTTGTAACTACGCTGCCCTTCCCAGCACCAAGCTGCATTGTACATCCAATACAACATGTATACAGAGAGCACATTGTGAGTTTCCTTTCTCCATCCCATCCTGAGTGTGAACCAAACATCTCGTACCCCACAAGAGAACACTCTTGCTTTGCGTCAACTTAGAGATGTCTGATTGCAGATGAAGCGTTCAAGATCCGTTGTGACTGATGTTGAAAGCTTCAATTGCATTTACTGTTAGCGTAATTGTCAATATAAGTCAGGGTAGAATCGGCAGTGAGAATGAGGTATCATTGACGTCGGCCCTAGAGATGCCAATAATGGTTGACCGAGGCTGAAGTCACCTCTTTTTCACATATGGACATCAGAGAATCTGATGTTCATGGTGAAATTATTGTAAGGATGTTAATTACGAAAGTAATTAATTAAGAGGATAAAAGTAAAGTAAAAACCTGAAGGGACTGTCAAACCAGGTATCTTTGAGAATCTATCGGACGTAACTTGATACTGCTTGTCTTAGGCTCCGCCCACCAGGGACTGCCATCCTGAACCTTGAAATCAATTTAACTCTTGTCTTCGACAGCTCAGTCAGAGCGTAGTTTGAAAAGGGAATCTTAGGAAATGGAAATGGGTTCGTAGTCTCAGTTTCACACGTCAAAGTGTACAGTAACGGAGTTCATTGAAATAGTTGGGTGAGTAGAACTCGGAGCTGGGCGAAGGAGGAGTGCGGGACATTGACGTTCTAGGGCGTCAATCCAGCGTCTGAAACTCCTCCACCCACAGGTTCCTCTCGGCCAAGAGCCTTGTAGATTGGGACGACCTCTACACTAAATTGGAGATGGATGAAGGCCAGTAAACTCGGGAAAATTCGTGAACACGAGCGTCAGGAACTAACCACCTCCTCTGGGGCCAAGTCAGCTGGCCAGCCGTTCACCTGACGCGTTCACTGTCCAGCTTGTTGATCTCACAGGCCGAGCAAACACCACCAGCCCCCATCATTATTATGGATGAGTCCACCATTCAGCAGGGCTATGTTGTGGCTGTGTTATTCCTCCGAGTACACCTGTATGTATTCACCTGAATTGTCTGAGTGTTTGGAGTCAGCAAGAGTAGGTTGACCACCACTTTGCTTGAGGGCAAAGGTACCACAGTAGTGGAGAGAAGCTACTAATCCTGGTGATGTTAAAGTATTAGTGTTGGTGCTGTAACTGGCATCATTGCCACTTGTAATAATGGTGCTCAAAGGTGCTATGTAAGAGAATATTGTGTGTGTTCTTGTAAATGTACACCCAGTCATGGTGAAGAGGATAAAAGAAAAGGAAAAGTAATCAGAGACGTGACCGATCGCCCAAGCGGCTAACGAGCCGATCAGTGGTGAAGAGGACAAAAGAAAAGAAAGAAAAGGAGTGGAGAATGTACCTAAGTTTAACAGTACAAAATGAGTAAGGTCAGGGAGTAGACCTCTTTAGTTCAGTGTTACTGAAAATATTCATAAAATATAACTTCATTTTAATAAACCATTTTATAATTTTAATAAACCATTTTATTTGTATGTTAGGAGTATCATTTACCTGCAGTATTTTGCCGTCATTCTTTCCCATTGCTTGATACCAGAATTACAATGTACCCACGTGTCATAACCCTCGAGCCACGCTACCAAAGGTCAGAGGTTATGAAGTAGCTATATGAAATTAAATAACTAGACAGAACTAATGGAGAAAATGAATGAAGTAATAAATTAAGAGAAAAACAGGTTGAAGAGTTTAAAAGTTAACCACCACGGTAAAAATAAAAATAAAGAACAGAAAAGGAGAAAACATGTCCTTATAATACTAACGATCCTTATTCCACACGCATACTTTTAATGAATTAATGTATTCTATAGACACACTGTAATACTTAATAACATCACCTTCACTGAGAAAATTATGAAAAATCATAAAAAGTGCGATTGAGAAACGTTCATCCATATAACTGGTAATTGATAAACACACACTTTCTCTATCTCGTTCCTATAAACACTTTCACATTCATTCTCACTCTCACATTCACACACTCACCGTGCAGCTGGTATATGGAGCCGTTGGTGCCGATGCTACTGACAATGAGGTGTGTAGCACCGCTAGACCCCTTTTCGTTCACTGCCCTGATCACCAGCTGGTACTTTCCATCCACCTGCAGCCCCTCCACCTGTGAGAGACACTGTCTTTATCGATCCTTCTACTTCCCTCCATCTGCGAGACTGCCATTGTATTGTACTTCCAGGTACTTTCCTCCAATTTTGAGACACTTATACTTCTTGGTACAGTACTTTATTTTGACTGGTGCTTTGTAACGTAGGTACGTCTTTGTACATGCAAAAAAAAAAAAAATGTGCATAACAGAAAACTGACCAATATTCCCGATCGGCTAGGAAGCTGACATGCGACGATTAAATTGGTCACAGCTTAAGGATGAAGAATCCACAAGTCCAGAAAATTGTGAGGGTAAACTTTTTTGGAGTGAGAATTGTAAACTTTAGGAACAATCTGCCCGAGTCGTTTGACTTGACTTGACCAACACTGGAGACAGTACAACTTACATGCCCAATACTTGCCGATAGTGCCTAACAGATAGTGTGACCGACCGATCACCCAAGCGGCGAACGAGACGATCAATGGTGAAGAAGATAAAAGATAAAAGATAGAAAAAGTATATTTATTTTTACCCTCCAAATATTGCGGTTCGTTTTCTTTCAACAAATCTTTGAGAGAAAACGAACAACTATTTTTGTATAGGAAACTAAAGAAGATAGCTGATATTATTTTCTTTATTTAAAATTTTTGCCACTTATCCAGTGTTAGTGCAGGATGAAACTGAAGTACCCAGAAGAAACTTAGGATGTTTTGGATAACACCGTTCTCACACACGGTGGAGCGTACCGAGTTTACCGTCATGTTGCTGAATTTATGCCAACTTTCCATGTGCAAGTCTTGGCTTGGCTGAACAAATTAAAGATGTTTACACTTACAAAAAATTACTAGTCCGGGAGTTTTATATTGATTTAATTTAAAGTGATTGGTGCTTATACTAAATAAATTAATGTAACATGTTTAGACTGAATAAATTAATGTACTTTTTTTACTTTATCCTCTTCACCACTGATCGGCTCGTTAGCCGCTTGGGCGATCGATCATGTCTCTGTTACGCACTGTTGGCAAGTACTGGCTCCTAGATGTATCTGAACCTGCTCCAGTGCTTGTCAAGTCTGGTCTTGAAAGAGCACACGCTCGGTGCCGTCACAACACTCTCTGGCAGATTGTTCCAAGAGTTCACAAAGTCACTCTTGAATATCGTGAAGTGACGGACCATCCAGACATCTAAATAAATTAATGTAACTGACGTTTAAACAAAATAAATTAATGTCAATAAAAGGTGAAGTGACAAAAATGAGAATTGAAAAAAAAAAACACAAAAAACTATATCACTGGTAGCGTCAAGTCGAATAAAAAATCAATCGTGCGAAAGAACTATCCATCAGTGAGGTTAAGAAGGGAGGGCGTTGGGCTCAGCTGATATGGATAAAACCAACTCACGTGGAAGTCCGGGGTGGAGGAGGCGGTGAAGTTGAGGAGGTGATGCCTGGCTGAGCCCTTGAATATAGCCTGCAGGAGAAAGTACTGGGGGAGACCGCCACTGCCGCCCGCCACACATCTCACCCTCACGGAGGTGCGACTTCTGCCTCCCACTGTGCAGTTACTTGGCGACTCGGGTTTACCTGAAGGGTAGAAAAAGAATATATGAGAGAGAGAGAGAGAGAGAGAGAGAGAGAGAGAGAGAGAGAGAGAGAGAGAGAGAGAGAGAGAGAGAGAGAGAGAGAGAGAGTCTTCAACAGTCCAATCCAATATGAATGGGTGCCAAACTATACAGGTGGTCTAATGCAGTACTATTCACACTGTTTCCTGTTTACTGAAGGCATATTATTCAATGAGTTAATTTCAATGTGCATGGGGACCCAATTTCACTTGCAAGGCAATGTAGAGCACGCAAGAATCCCACCGTTTTACTCTCATCTCACAGCAAAATGTAATGGCCACGGTCGTACATGTTAGTTACAGTAAAATCAGACGATTCATATGACGCTCAATAGCCCACAAAACATGTAGATATATGCCTTCTTTATTGAGTCCCCCGTCTAAGGCGTTCGTTTTCTCATCGCTTTAGAACGCCTGAGTCCTCCGGTTTCTCTCAATATTAGAGTGCACCCGAGATTCGGTATTCCTTGTATCACGACACAAAATTTGAAATTACAACTGTAGTTGTATCTGTAAAGGCAACTTAGATATGTCTGATTACAGATGGAACATTCAAGATCCCTTGTGAGTAAAGTTGAAAATTTCAACGGTCTTTATTGTTAGTAAAACTTGTCAAGTGAGTGAGTGTCAAGTTTGCCAGTACGAATGGCATGTCCTTATATCGTCCTTGAGGATAGCCATTAGTTCTAAGTACTACTGAAATTAGATCATTTTGATGCCCAAACATCAGAGAATCTGATGTTTGCAGTTTAGTTAGTGTTAGTTGTCTATTCAAGAAAGTCATTAATCTCCTGAAATATTTTTTTTCTTTCTTTTATCCTCTTCACCACTGATCGGCTCGTTAGCCGCTTGGGCGATCGGTCATGTCTCTGTTACGCACTGTTGGCAAGTACTGGGCATGCACCGGCTCCTGAATGTACCTGAACCTGCTCCAGTGTTGATCAAGTCACAACACTTTCTGGTAGATTGTTCCAAGAGTTCACAACTCTCACTCCGGAAAAAGTTTGCCCCCACAGTTTTTTAGACCTGCGGCTTCTTCAATCTTGAGCTGTGACCCCTTGTGGGGCGAGCGTCCGCCAGCTCCAAGTAAGGACACTCGACTGAGTAGTGCCCCTTGAGATGCTTATACACCTCAATTAGGTCGCCCCTTGCCCGTCTGTAGTATAAGCTAGGTTAGTTGAGGTGCCGAAGTGCAGGCACCAGTCTGGTGGCCCTCCTTTGAGCATTTTCAACCAACTGACAGTCCCTAGCATATCTCGGGGACCAGACGGGGTGACAGTACTCCAGATGGGGAAACACTTCACTCTTGAAGATCGTTACGAGGGACGGGCTGTCTAGATATCTGAACGACCTTCTTATAAGACCCAATAATTTGTTTGCCTGATTTACCTTCTTCTCGCAATGGCCCGAGAACTTCATCTCATTGTCAACATACACACCTAGGTCCTTCTCACATTCAGTCTCAAATAGTGCAGTTTTTCATCCCGTTGGGACATATGATACGCCTCCTCACAACACTTTCTGGTAGATTGTTCCAAGAGTCCACAACTCTCACTCCGGAAAAAGTTTGCCCCCACAGTTTTTTAGACCTGCGGCTTCTTCAATCTTAAGCTGTGACCCCTTGTGGGGCGAGCGTCCGCCAGCTCCAAGTAAGGACACTCGACTGAGTAGTGCCCCTTGAGATGCTTCACTCAATGTCTC